AGGGGAAACAAAGGAGGAGGCTACAATGCTTGATAAGAAAGGTACTCATTATCTTGCCCATGTAATTGTAACCCCTCTGTACAGTATTTTCACAATAAAAAAATGTAAAAATAAAAAAAATAAATTTTCTTACATGAATGTGGCTTCGTGTTTATGTATCATGTAATAATTATAATGTAATTTGGTTTGAAAGGTGCTTTATTCTTTGGCTAATAAAACTGAAATACATGTTTTTTTTTTTGAAATGCTTTAGTGTAGAGTTTGTTTCCCTTTAAAATCTGTACCAGTGGTTCCCACATTTGACTTCACATCAGAATGATTCAGGGAGCTTTAAAAAACATACTGAGCAGGAGTAGTGAAACAGTCAAGAGCTTGTTGACCTAACATTTCTTTTTTTATTATTTTAAATTTTATTTTCTTGCAAAGATGCTCTACAGAGAGGTTACAGTTACATCAGTAAGGTAACGGGTACATTGTGTATCCTCCTTTGTTTTACATTGTGTATCCTCCTTTGTTTTCCTTGCACTATCCCTTCCCTCCCCTACCTCCCCCCTCCCCCCAAAGTTGTAAGGTTCATTTCCAACATAGTGTCTTGTATCATTGTTGCAATGTGTCATCCTGTGTCCTTGATTCAGCATTTTCCCCCTCCCCTCCCCAAATTAGATAAATGTATATACAAGATGCAAGGTACCAAAATCAAATAGAGTGACAAAGGAAATAGACCACAGGAGGAAGAACATACAAAAGAAACAAAGAAAAAAATCACATAGTACATTAATAACAAAAACAGAAAAACCTCTTGTGTCTATACCTTGGGGTTTATTTTGCTTAGCATCATCTTATATGGTCATATGTACATAGCTTTTGAGCTTTTTATACTCACCTGATAAAATTATTCTAGACATATACTAGTTATTGCAAATAAGAGGAACCATGGAACCTGTATTTCTTTGGGTCTGACTTACTTTACTTAATATGATTTTTTTCCAAGTCTTTCCATTTCCTAACAAACGGGCCTAACATTTCTATCCACAATTTTTTTTTGGGGGGGGGTCCAGTCATGGGGCTTGTACTCTGGCCCTGGGCGCTGTCCCTCAGCTCTACCACTTGAACCACAGCACCACTTCCGCCTTTTTTCTTTTTGCTTATGTGGTGCTGAGGAATTGAACCCAGGGCCTCAGGCATGCAAGGCAAGCGCTCTACCACTGAGCCACCTTCCCAGCCCCGGGCCTAACATTTCTGTCTGACCTCTGCAATATTCTTTTGGTTTCCTTTTTCTTTTCCTTTTATTTCTTTTTGTAATGAGGGAAGGCATTGCTGAGAATGAAACCTAGGGTCTCAAGAATGGTAGGCAAGTGTTGTACCCTTGAACCATATCTGTAGTCCTGTATAGAAATTCACCATCCATATTCTAAAGCTCTTGGTCAGAGATGTTTGGCTTCCCAGAAGATCCCATTCATGAGATGGATCCTTTGTGGGAAAAGATGTCTTCCCTGCTGCATCCAGTGTTTCCTCAGCTGTTGCTGTGAGATCCTACAGCTCAAAACTTCCTCTACTTGCTGTAGAGGAAGTGTCTCAGGGTGCTGAGCATTTGAATAAAACTATTAGGCCCACTCTGATTTGCAAGAAATCATATGTTGTGAAACAGAAGACTGACTGATGGTAGAGATGAATGTCTGAGAATTTTACTATATTTGCTAACAGCACCATATTAGAAATATATTTTGCTGTTTTCAAGACTGAAACTTCACTGTGAAAACATTGGCAATTCTGATGTCATCCTGCCAGTTCTGCCTTTAACTATCATCAGTAATGGTTCCCATGCTGGCAATGAGCTGGCAGTGTAGAAGTTCATGATCTTCTCTGACAGCAAACTACAGAGAAGCCATGCTCATTCTACAGCCAACAGTTATCACACCCGAGGTGTCATCAAGGAGAAATTTGGGAAAGCTATAAGTATGGAACCTTGTGGTGGACTAAATAATGTCTCCTAAAGATGTCCATGTCCAAATCCCTGAAGCCTACAAATGCATTATTTTACCATGAAAAAGCAGGAATGGTTGAGGGTATGAACCTTGAATTAAGAGTATCTGATGTTATCCAGGTGACCAGTCTTATGATTCCTTAAAAACAGAACTTTTCATGCCTTTTGTCAAACAGACAGTTAGATGAGTTAGTTAGAAAGTTAAGATGTTGCTGGCTTTGAAGATGGAGGAGGATTCTGGGTGCAGTGCCCATGAGTAAAATCTCAGCCACTCAAGAGGCTGAAATTGAGAGGATCATGGTCCAAGGTCACCCTAGGCAGAAGTTATCAAAACCCCATGTCAACCAACAGCTGGGAAAAATGCTCAGGAGTACAACTAGTGGGTTATGTGATAGTTACAAATTTAGTTGTTGGTGGTGGTTTGTTTGTTTGTTTGATTTTTTAGTTTTGTAGACTTGGCTGCATTTTCTATATCTCACAACAGCTTTTTTCACTTTTTTGTTCTCTCTCTCTACACACACACACACACATATAATTGTAAAGACACTGTACAGAGGGGTTAGTTACTTGAGCAAGGTAATGAGTCCATTTCCTATCCAGCATTGTTACCCCCTCCTTTATTTTTCCCCTACCATCCCTTTCCTCCCCACCTCTCCAACTTCTCCCTCCCCTCTCTTTCCTGCTCCTCCCAGCAAAGTTGTAAAGTTCATTTTCAACATACTGTCTTGTACATCTCATCCACAACAGCTTTTTTTTTTTTAAGTCCCAAGCAAGGGCTGGGAATGTGGCTTAGTGGTAGAGCGCTTGCCTAGCATGTACAAAGTCCTAGGTTCAGTTCCTCAGTACCACACAAACAGAAAAAGCCAGAAATGGTGCTGTGGCGCAAGTGGCAGAGTGCTAGCCTTGAGCGAAAGAAGCTCAGGGACCCCAGGCCCTGAGTTCAAACCCCAGGGCTGGCAAAAAAAAAAAAAAATCCCAAGTGAGTTTTTAAGTCTCACTTGGGTTTTGAGTTGATTTTTTAAAAGTGTCATTTGTCTCTCAATCACAATTTCTACAGATTGGACTTTAGATTTAGGGTTTGATTAAATTTTAATTTAATCTGTTTAAAATATTTAAAACTATTATTATATGCTGCTATGCACTTTGTTGCATATCCTGAGTCCTAAAGAAGTCAAAATAAGCTGGTTGACAGCAAGTTTCAATGGCACAGTGATTAAATACCCCAGATGACAACAGTTTTAAGCGTCTTGGGATAGAACCTTGTCACCAAAGAACTGTCTTTTGAATTTAGCAACTAATAATGTGGCCCCACCATAGGGCTCTGTCAAGGATAGGGTGGAGACAGCAGTTTACTCCACCATTGGAGAATGCATAGTGGACATATGTATGTTACAAGACATATTGAAAACTGACTTTGAGCCTCTTTGAATAACCAAAGACTAAATAATCAAAGCTAGCAATAAGTAATGACTCTGAAGTAAGAAAATGCATTTGGAGTCTGTTGGCTCGCATATTAAGAAATTAAATTTTGTGGCCTATAGAGTTCTGAAAGTTTCTGGTTTTGCTTTGTGTATTGTGGAAAAATTGTATTAATACCGGGACAAAGTACAGGACTCATGAGACAGGAGGCTGGGGGGCCCTCAGGTAAACCATTGCAATCTTCTACCTGCCTATCACCCCAAACTAAGTGCTGTAACCGGAAAAGAATGACTAGGACTCAGAGATTAGGGTTGGAATTTTAAGACATATCAGAATTTCTGTGATTTTCGTGGATGTGACCTTGCATAAATGAATTTGGAACATACTTGAGATTCAGGAGGGAAGATGTCTTAGGTGGACGTCAGGTAAAGATATCCAAGGAGACTATTGAAGGTGTAAATGTGGAAGCATAGCATACAGGAAGTGGCAGTCAGCGTGCTGCAGTGAGAGGAGGGCTTGGATTCTCAGTCCGAGGAGGCCTCCCCTGCAGAGATGAGGGTGTGCAGGGCGTGCGTGCGTGCGTGCGTGCGTGCGTGCGCGCTTGCGCGCGTGCATGTGTGCGCGCCTGCCCGTACGCGCAAGGACGTGGAGGGCTGCACGTGCCCAAGAAAGCTCGGGAAAAATCGCGAGAAAACCTACAACGAGCATGGTGCCTGCGTAGTGAAGCAGGCCTTCCGTTGGTTAGACCCAGACAGGCCCCACTGAGAAGACAGGGATGGAGCTGCCCGAAGACACCCAAAAGCTTTCTATGAAAAATGATATGCACAGAGAGCGGGTCCATTCCCTGTTTACATCTTCTGCTCTACATAAGGGTGCCTTTACCAACCCAGATAACACACCTGGCAAAGGATCAGAGTTTCCTTCTGCCTATAATACACAGGCCCAAGGCAAGAAATTACCGCCCAAGGAGAAGGAGAGCACAGGGAACCGGCTGCTGAACGTGAGTGGGCTTACAGATCTGGGGAGCCCCAGAGCCAGGGGAGCCCCAGAGCCAGGAAGGCCTTGGACTGTGGGGCCGGTGCACCGCACGGAGGAGACTTCCTCAGCTGGAGCTGGAAATGACAAAGGAGAGCTTACCTGTGTGGTGGGGACAGTTAAGACTATAATTCGTTTTTACCTTATTTAAGGAAACAGATAGGACGGTGATATCATGCAGCTTAGCACAGTGTAAGGAACAGAGTCTTAAACGTTATCTACTCCAAAAAATTCACTGTGAAAAGCTAAGCTACACCTTAATCTTTTCGCTCAAGGCTATTGCTCTACCACTTGAGCCACAGATCTACTTTTTGCTGGTTAATTTCCTGCCTGGACTGGCCTGGAACTGTCGCCCTTAGATCTCAGCCTCCTGAATGAATAGCTAGGATTTCAGATGTGAGCCACCTGATCCTTGGCACTAAGGTTCTTCCAGCTTTTTCTGCTTATGTGGTATTGATGAATTGAACGTAGGGCCTCATGCATACAAGGCAATCACTCTACCACTGAGCCACCTTCCCAGGCCTCTACAGTGATTCTTAAGCATGAACATCAAAGATTCAAGTGAATCAAACTATTTAATTACTTAAAACTGAATCTGAGCAACATTCCCATGGAACCCATCTTTCCAATTCCATGGAGACGGCTTTAAAATCTGAATATCTTTTGGGACCTCTAGTCACTTACCCTTCCTATTGCTTTCACCTGATTTGCCCGATATTTCTGGCCTCAGCTGCTTTTCATTCCTACATCCTCAATCTACAGCCCTTACGATGTCTTTCCCCCCATTTGTCTACAATGATTCTTAAGCACGAACCTCAAAGATTCAAGGGAATCAAACTATTTAATTACTTTGGTTAAGGGATCATGAGAAGTTTCAGAAAAGGTAGCTTTTAAGCAAAGCTTTGAAGAATAAGAGAATGACCATTTCAAGGGTTGTGGGAGAGCATTAAGCTGGAATAAGTCTAGTATGAAGTTCCTGCAAAAGAAAAAAATTGAAATGTACAGGAAACAGTGAATGCAAGGGAACATGACATGAGATGAGGCTATACTGGTGTGTGTGTGTATATACATATATACATGTAATGTGTGTATATATATATATATATATATATATATATATATATATACATACACACACACACACACACACACACACAGAGGGAGAGAGGTTTTGGTTTTTCTGGCCCTAGGACTTGAATTCATGGCCTAGGCACTCTTAGATTTTTATTTATTTATTTTTGCTTAGGGATAGTACTGTACAAGTTAAGCCACAGCTCCACTTTTGGTCTTTGGATGGTTAATTGGAAATAAGAGTTTTGAAACATATTTCTCAGCTCTTGGCTTCCAGAGGAGCTAGGATTCCAGTCAAATTGGTCTTCTCGAAGGCAAGAGCACTTCATGATGAAATCAGCCTGGTGCCAGGCATATAGTTATGTTAACATATTAGTAAATATGTGGTAGCAGGTTTTCAAAGAGAAATGTTGAATGGAGAGGAATGTATCAAAGAGTCAGTGCGGAAGGCAGTGCGGGCAAAGTGAGACGTACAGACTTTTCACTAGCTACAAGGTATTTTGAGTTGAGGCCAACTGTGCAGAGATGAAAGACAAGTGGACTTAAGTGGAACCTGAATCCTCTGCAGGTTCAGGAGAAATTCTAGGTAGTGTGTCAGATGCTGTAGATGAGACATGTTTAGAACCTTTGCTCAAGATTCTTCTGGGACTTTGGCAAAGAGATCTTGCTGATATTGTTGCCATTACAAAGAGCTGTACTCAAACAAGGAAGGAAACATACAGGGGAGGTAATGTGGGGCTGAGGGAAAAGGGCAAGTACCATGCAGGCCATGACAGGATACATTGAGCATGAGTGGTCTAAGGTAGGTTTAAAAATGTCTAAATTATATTTATTGAAATGCTCATTCAGAACAGCCTTCCAAGATAAACATTATCAAAATATTAGCAAGTACAAGATCGTGTCCTCAGAATATGTATCTAGACACACGGGATGGGCCTCATGCTGATTAGCCCGCCAAGGTGTGTAGCTACTGTTTCTCTGCTACACAGATGCTCTTTTTTTTTTTTTTTTTTTTTGGTCATGGGTCTTGAACTCTGGGCCTGGGCACTGTCCCTCAGCTCTTCAGCTCAAGGCTAGCGCTCTACCACTTGAGACACTATACTACTTGAGCCACAGCACCACTTCTGGTTTTCTCCCGGACTTTCCTGCCCAGGTTGGCTTTGAACTGAGATCCTTAGATCTCAGCCTCCTGAGTAGCTAGGATTACAGGCACCAGCCCCATGCACCCAGCTCACAGATGCTCATCCTATGGGGAAATACTTTAAGACTATATCAATGCTGTTGTCCCCGCAAGCTTTTCCCTCTCCATTTAGTGTTGGTGAATCGCCCACCAATAGTTTTATTATTATGCTAGTAGAATATCATTTTTTGAACTCAATTATTCCTTCTGCTTTTACGGTGTGACATTGTGCTAAAAGGAAGAACTTTTTCATATAAGTAGAGTCTCGTGAATTCAATGGGTTCGAATATACTTACTTTTATCATTTATTTTGATATCCAAACTATGCCAGACATTGTCAGTGGGCACCCCTTTATGATGACTTTTATGAATTTGGACAATATTTTGAGCATCTTTAAAAGATGTTCTTTGTTACCCAAGGCCTCATGCATGCAAGGCAAGCACTCTGCCACTGAGCCACCTTCCCAGGCCCTCATATACTGTTTTGTAGAATGGGAACTTCCTTGTACAACCACTTAAAGATAATAAAAACATTTTTAAAAAGTAAATTTAAAAAAAGATGTTCATTGCTCATTTATATGTACCCTTCTCCAGTTTGGGTGCTAGAGTATGTTTCCCAAAGGCCCATATGTTAAAAGCTTGTGTCACCAGCCTGGGAGAGATGTTAGAACCTTTACAACAACGTAAGGCCTAGCAGAAGGCAGTTAAGTCATTTGGGGCATTCCCTTAAAGGGGATGTTGGACTCTGGCTTGTTCCTCTCTTTTTGCTTCTTTCCCATGAGTTGAACCATCTTTTCCCATTATCTACTTCCATCACATTGTGTTGTGCTACTATAAACCCAAAACAACCAGCCCAATGGACTGTGGATGGAAGCTTCTGGAACTGTGAGCTAAAACAAACCTTTCCTCTTTTCATGATTCATGACTGATTTTGGTGTGTACATTTTTGTTTCGATGTTTACTTGTTGATAAAGTTATTGAAGATGCGGTAACTCTCTTATTCTATTTATACTGCACTGCCTAGAGTATCTGATACTTACTAGATAATAATTTAATATTGGAGTTAATCTTTTATCTAGTTTTATTCCTCTTTTTTTTCTAAAGGGTTAACTTAGTCTATTTGTATTGTAGATGCTGAGACAAACTTTTCATGGGTCTGACAGTGAAGAACAAGTGGTAGCACGTGAAACACGAACTCTGGTTCCATTTGGGGATGTGGTACGTGTGACTAGCATTCAGTAAACTCAGAATTGTTTTTTATTAGATATGAAATGTTGTTTATATTTATTATATGGTAATTGAAAAGGATGTGCAGGAAATGGTTCTCTCTGAGAACATAATCATGCAATTTACTGATTCATATAAACATGATAATCACTGATACTGTGGAAAACATACATACATAATGTTTTATATTAGAATTTCCAAATCCAATTACATGTAAATCACCCAGATGCTTCTTTTGTAAGACATTGACTTTGGATACTACCTAAGATTTAATTTGGAATGTTGGTTTTGTTGTGTGTGTGTGTGTGGAGGCTGGTCCTAGGGCTTGAACTCAAGGCGGTGGGTGCTGTCTTTAATCTCTTTTACTCAGGGCTAGTGTTCTACTACTTAAACCATAGCTCCACTTCCTTTTGGTGGCTAATTGAAGATAACAGTCTTACAGACTTTCCTGTCTAGGCTGCTTTCAGACCTTGATCCTGAGATCTCAGCCTCCTTATCAGTTAGGATTACATGGCTTGAATGTTTTGAAAAAGAGACCTAGACATTGAGCTCTTCAAATGATTATATTTATTGTTAGATTGATTTTCAGCTTGAAAATTAATCTCACATTGCTCCCACACCTAGACCATCCACAGAAACAAAAGTAAACATAGTTATTTTATACACACACACACACACACACACACAGGACATAATATCTAGACTGAAAATCAGAAAAGTCTGTTATTCTATTTTTTTGGTGCCTCAGAATATAGGACATAAGTATCTGTGTGCTTTTTGAACTATCATGAGATCCTTTTACAGTGAACTTTGCCTATCTTTATTCTTTTGTATCACTATTAGAGCAGTGCAGTGATTGAGAATAAAATAAGAATCAATTTAAAAAATCAACTTTTCTCCCCTCCTTTTCTTCCTTCCTTCCTTCCTTCCTTTGTAGGTGTTTGAATTCAGGGCTTCATGTTTGCTAGACAGCTACATGAGCCATACTTTTAGTACTAAGAATTTTACTTGTTTCTCTTTTCTCACACTTTTATTAGTATCAATTATTTGTATAAGATTCCTTTTTGACATGTCCATATATAATACTGTGTACCCTCCTGATTTACATCATGTAACCATTTCCCCCAAAAGACCTAATATCATTCTTTTTATGAATGAGTAATAATTCATTGTGTCTAATGACACATTTTTTGATCCATTCATACTTTATTAGGCATCTGGACTGTTTCTATAACTTGGCTAATGTAAATATTACTGTAAAGAACATTGGTGTGCAAGTATGTTCTGACTTATAATCCTTCATATACACATAAAAGTGCAGTTGTATTTAGTTATTGAGAACCTATAATGGTTATACTAGTCTACATTTCCACCAACAGTGTATAAGAGTTCCATTTTCCCTGATTCCTCACCAGCATTTGTTGTTTGTGTTCTTTATTATTACTAAGTGAGATGAAATTGCAATGTTGTTTTGATTTCCATTTCCTTTGGATGTTGTATATTTCTTGATATATTTATTGATTATTTGTATTTTTTCTTTCATTTATTAATTGGATTGTGGATTCCTTCAGAGTTACTCTTTTGAGCTCCTTGTAGATTGTAAATTATTACTTTTTAATTTAATTAATTATAATTATTTTTCTAAATTATTCATTATTAATTTTTATTATATGTATAACCAGTACTTTTTCCCCATTCTGTGGGTTGTCTCTTTAGCATAGTGATTCTTTCCTTTGCTGTGTAGGTGCTGTTGTTTGTTAATTCATTTGTTAATGCTTGCTCTTATGTTGTTCTGCTCAGATAGTTATTGCCTATGTCAAAAAATTCTAGTGTTTTCCCTATTCTTATAGGGAAGACATTATAGTAGTTTCAAAGGTTTAAGTCTCACATTAAGATCCTTGATACACTTCAAATTGATATTAGTACGGGATGAGAGATAGTTTCGGTCTTCTGTATGTGAATATTTGTTTTTTCCAGCACCAATTATTGAAGAAGCTATTTTTTTCTCCAAGTATATTTAGCTTTGTTGTTAAAAATCAGATGGCTGCAGTTGTATAGATTTATCTCTGGGTCCTCTATATTCGAATTCAGCAGTCTACATCTCTGCTTTTAACAACCAGTACCATGTTGGGTTGGGTATTATTGTTGTTTCTGTGCTTTGCAGTATAATTTGAATTCTGGAATTGTGAAACCTCCAGCGTTGCTTCTTTTACTTAGAATTGCTTTGGCTATTTAGGACATATTGTGCTTCCGTATATATTTTAGGATTTTTTTTCTATTTCTGTAAAGAATTACATTGAGATTTTGATAGGGATTTTAGTGACCCTGTAGATCGTTTATAGTAGCACAGACATTTTCATGATACTAATTCTGCCAATCCATGAGCATGAATCTGCAGAGGTTTTTTACCTTTGGAGAAGTCTATTCCTAGGAACTTCATTGTTTTTAGGCAATGGTGAATGGAATTGTTTTCCTGATTTTTCAACATCTTTTATTATTGTTGTACAGAAAAGCTACTGATTTTTGTATGTTAATTTTATATCCTACGATCTTGCTAACAGTTTAGGATACTGATATATCATTTCTAAGATCATAGTGTCTAAAAATGGGATAATTTGACTTCTTTCTTCTCCACTTGAATCTTTCTTATTGTTTTTCTCTTTTATTGCTCTGACTAGGAATTCTGTACTATATTGAATACGAATAGACAAAATGGACAATATTATTCCTTACTCAAGGAAATGATTTCAATATTTTCCTGTTTAATATGATGTTGGCTATAAGTTTGTAATATACAGTCTTCATCATGTTGAGGCACATTCATTTTATTCTTAGTTTCTTCAGAGCTTTTACCATGAAAGATACAGAATTTTGTCAAAGGCGCTTTTTTTGCATTTATTGAAATGATTATATGATCCTTTAATTCTATTTATGTGCTGTGATATATACACATATGTGTATATATATATATATATATACACATATGTGTATATATGTTGAATCAACCTCATATGCCTGGAATGAAACCAATTTGGTTAAGGTGTACAATCTTTTTGATTCATTGTTTAATTTGGATTGTAAGTATTTACTGATTTTTTTTGCATCTATGTTCATTAGAATGATTGCCAAAGGAAAGGATTTTGAATTTCTCCTTGCTGATTTTGAACAATGATTAATAATGTGTCTACTGAGGCTGAATAGTTGTCTTTCTTTACCCATGCATTTAGTGAGCTCTCTTGTTAACCTGGGTGGTGAGGAAGCATAAACATGTAATGTATGCTTGCTAGGTTCTTGCTGTGTACTAACTGTCGGAGCTACAATTATATATACTTGCAATATCCTACAGACTGTATCTGTGCCTTACTTAGTCATGGTTTTCAGGACAGGAATAAAGTGTATGTTGGCCTCATGGAACTGATGAGACCTTTAATTCTCCATAACAGACACCACAAAGACATTTAAAGGCTTTTAATTGATGTGTTGGGCAGGGTAAAGAGAGTGTAACAATCCATAAAGAAGGCATTTCTAACTGTTGTTTAATGAGATGATTTTGCTGTAGAGACATTGAGGGTGGCTTGGTACATAGAGAGACTTGTAAGCCTTTCCTCCCACCCTCCATGTGCCATTGGGAAACAGAGTAGCTCAGCCTTGGGAAATATGATGAGGATGTGTGTCTCTGTGTGTCTGTTTGTGTGTCTCTGTCTGGTTTGGGTGTGAATGTAGTACTGGCTTCATAGAATGAGTTTGGTAATGTTCCTTCCCTCTCTATTTTATGGAAAGCTTGAAGATTATCAGTGTTGGTCTTCTTTAAAGGTCCAATGGTAGAATCCAACAGTCTTTGTTTGTTGTTTGTTTGTTTGGTCTGGGTCTTTTGTTTGTTGGGGACTTATAACTGCTTTAATCTCATTGCTTGTTTCAGATATTTTTCTGTAGTTTGTATCATTTTTGATTCAATTTTGGTAGATCAAGTACATCTAAATCTTAATGTACTATTTCCTTCCATCTTGTATTTGTAGTGTTTTGTTCTTCTCTTCATTTGCTTATTTGCTCATCAGTTTAGATATATTTTCTACCCATTTGCATGGTTACATTTATCTTCTCCTGTATGTAGTGTCTTCCTTTGTGTATCTTCTACAATGTTGTTTTAGTGGTCATTAGTTACTTTAGTTTTGCTTATCATGAAAGATTTTTATTTGTCTAAGGTGATAGCTCTTTATTATTAGCACTTTATATATCACTATATGTGCTCCTTTAAGGTTTCTGTTGAAACCTGTTTTGATGGGCTTAGCATTGACTGCATTTCTCTCACAGCTTTCAGTATTTTTTCCTTGTTCTACACATTTAATGCTTTAACTACTCTATTATCATCTCTGTTTCCTTGTTCTTCTTCTGTACTTCCTTTTATGTACAATCTTTAATATTTCTACTGGTTTTACTTTAAGGCTAAACATGAAAATTCTTTTGTGGAAGATATATGGCTGTGAAAACAAGTGCAAATACTGTGTCCACAAAATAAAGATGAAAGCTATCGTTAAAGCAAATTAATATGTACATATTTGACAAATACTGTGTTTTTGGAATTTACATGATCCTATGTTCATTTTGTATTTCATTTTATACATTTTTCAACATTTAGAATAATTTCTATAAGAAACAATGAGGGGGCTGGGAAGTTGGCTCAGTGGTAGAGCGCTTGCCTTG